ACACACTCTTGTGTGTTACAGCCTGCTCAGTGTTTTATAACTAAGGTGTCACTTTATTTTTAAGCTCATTTAATAAGACAAGTTGAACCAGAACAGACTCATTTGGAGCAGCATAGAAACACATACAGTACACACATGGATCACTGTGTAGAGCTATGGGCAGCTTCTGCACAACTTCTATAATTAATTAAAGTCCCACTCCAGAAACATTTTCATTTTTATATTTGTATATAAAAATACTTTACTATAAACAATATGCAGTCTAACACAGCTTTTCCTCAAAAAAATTTCAGTGGGCCTCTGTAATAGGAATGAACATTGCCCCTCATTGTGCATTCCAGGATCTATGAATGTTGCCGTCATCCCTTATGTGGATTTGAATAATTTTGCACGCCCAATTTTTCAGTTTTTTATTTGTTAAAAAAGTTTGAAATATCCAATAAATTTCGTTCCACTTCATGATTGTGTCCCACTTGTTGTTGATTCTTCACAAAAAATTACAGTTTTATATCTTTATGTTTGAAGCCTGAAATGTGGCAAAAGGTCGCAAAGTTCAAGGGGGCCGAATACTTTCGCAAGGCACTGTAGATAGATAGATTTTAGACATCCATTTGTTTGCAAAACCAACAAAATAAGTAATAACAAATAAGGGAATAAAACAATAACTAATAAAACTCAGACAAAAGAACTGCAGTTAGGCCACACTGATGACAAGCATGTGTGACATGATAAACTAACCACTGCATTTAAATGGTTAACTGTACATGGATGTGCACAAGGTTGTGCAAGTAGAAATAATGTGCACCCATTTATTTATAATGGAATAGCTTCCTTTTATGGGGTGACAGTGGTGCAGTGGGTAAAACAGCCGTCCCAACTGGAAGGTTGGCGGTACGAATCTCGGTGCACAAAGGGAATCAGTGATGATTGAAATTGACATTGAAATATTGACATCATTTTCAGACAGTCATTTAAAAACAATCTAAATAAACTAGTCAATTGTTTACTTATTATATTACACACATTATAATTCAAATGCCCTATCTTAGAACACAACTGGATGAGTTTAACCATATTGTTCAACAATCAGCAATATTAACAGTATGCCAACTTTCTCAACAGTGTCTCACTTAAAACAGGCAGTAGCAACCTAGCGGTGATAACAAGCTGCCTGGCTGTGGGAAACACCTCCCACTTTAGACTCCTGCCTTCATTGAGAAGGTATCAGAGTCTTCAGGCCCAGACTTACAAACAGCTTCATCCACCAGGCTGTGAGGATGCTGAACACTGTTCGCTACCTCCCCCCCCGTGCCCATGGACTGTAACCCACCACAGAACATAAAAAGATATAGAAAGACTACCCCTGCTGTTTCCACAAACTCAATACATTCCCCCCTTTTGTTATATTACAGGTAAATCTGCTGCTGACTGTTGTGGAAACAAAAAAAAAACTGTTGGTCATTTGCAGTACTGTCCATGTATACCTCATATGCTATTTGCACCTCATCACCAACGCCCTGGTGATGCTGAACCATCTGACAATCTCATATTATTGTTTACTCTACTACTGTCACTGACTGTACTCGGTTTTGAGTCACAACTGTACCATTTAGATTTATCCTAATTACGTTAATCCAGTTCTTATTCTATTCTATTTTTATTCTACTTTATTCTATTTTAGTTCCTAAATGTTACGGAACCCAATACTAGGTGAGAGAGAAACGGTATTTCGATTTTCTGTATGTCCTGCACATATGGTGAATTGACAGTAAAATCCTTGAACCTTGAACTTAATCAAAGTACAAGTTGAAGCTATGGTGGTGAGCATGGTCATGGGACTTCACAATAGCTTTTTACTTATGGCGATCGTATTTGGGCTTCAAAAATCATAACAGTGATGTTCACTTGATGAACAAAACATGTAAGTGTCATAAACCATTATTGTTGCAGAGCTTTTTTTTCACAATAATCCAAAAGCCTATGGAAAAACCTAATGGGCTTCTTGTTGAAGAAACCGGGGTGATGCCAATTTCTGGGTTGGCCTATAAAAATATGTCATCCCTATAGCACTCTATGGGACCTTTATAGCTTAAACAACAGTAGCAACAACGACATTCTGCATCATTTCTGATATATCTTGACTGGTACTCTTCAAACTATTCAGCATCAAAAAGATGGTGCAAATAATATTCAATATAAATATTACCGAGTTTTAATTACTTTCTTAATATATTGAGCATGCTTCTCATCATGCTGTTTTCTCTGCTGTTTTTTTTTCCCAGACACATCGAAGTTCTCAGTCGCTGTATTCAGCGTTATGCGTGCATCACAATGTCAGACAGTGTGTCCAACTTGGATCTTCTTTCATCAACACATGACTTCAAACTTGTATGCACTCAGTGCTCTGTGAAGGAGAAAGAAATTACGTATACATTAAAACCAGTCTACCACCAGTGTGCATGCAATGTCCTGCTCTGCAAAGCCAAAGGTGGCAGCATATGGAGGCCTATTTCAAAGCGGCCCACATTTCCAAACCCGAGTCAGTATGAGACATGTTGGTACTTTAAGGAGGACTCTGGCTGTTCATACCACGGGAACAGGTGCACCTTTGCCAGAAGTGATGAAGAAGCTGCTGTGTGGAACTTTGTGAAGCAGCACAGATTAGACCACACACTCCTCTGTAATCTTATAGCTCAATCTGTGACAGGATTAGATCAGCCTAAGAGTGGTGAACCTCTTGGTGGCCTCTTAGCTACACTAGATTTGAAGGCTGTGTGTGATTTGTGCTCCACCAAGAACAAGGAAATAACATACACAGTTCAGTCTTTCAGTCACAAGTGCAGCAGAAATCATCTTTTAGCCAAAGCCAAAGCCTCTGACCAATGGAGACCTGTCTCTGAGCAGCCTGTATGTAGAAACTTTGGTAAAAATGTCATTTACCAAGTGTGTCAATATTTTGTTGAGGGCTCTGGATGTACACAACATGGGCAGCAATGCACTTTTGCCAGAAGCTATGAAGAGGCCACTGTATGGAACTATATTAGACACAACAAAATAGGGAGAGACAAGCTAATCAGACTTGTAACAGAGTCTGAGCCCATTTCATTAACAGCTGAAAGTGTAGCTGAAAGCATACTTCAACAGTTTTCAGGTGAATTCACTGAGTTTTGTAAAGCTTGCTTTCATGACCGCCCACTTAAACTAACAACTAAAAGGTGGAATGCCACCTGCTCAGCAGATGCAGCACACACATGGGACCCAGTCTTAGTTTATCATTTATCAGACAATAGTAGAAAGCACATCTATAATGAGGTGCGCCCTCTTCCCCAAAACTGTCAGTTTAAGTACTGCAGTCATGTCAGGCAAGGCAAGCCCTGCTGGCATGAGGCAGGCCACTGCCAGTCAGCCCAGAGCGAGGTGGAAATGGCCGTGTGGAAAGCAGAGCACAATGGACTCTCCGTAAGGCCTCATCTCCTTCGGCTGCGTCAGCAGAAGCAGACAGAGCCCAGACAGGTCACCATGTACTGCAAGGTTTGCCTTCTGGTCCTGTCCTCCCCAGAAAGTTTCTATAAGCACTGCTCCTCTTTAGAGCATGCCCAATTACTGTCTGAGGACACCACCACCAAGTGGAGAGGACGACAGCCTCCACACAACTGCAGAGCTCAGTTTTGGCTGTGTGAAAGGTAAACAGCTCTACTTTGTGTTACATGTTTTAAATCCATACTGTAGATCAATACAGTTTCTTTATCATGGCTTTGTCAGATGATGGAGGACAATGCAAAAATACCCAGAGTTTAAAGGTATAGCTGGTGATCCTGGAAAACCCAACAAGAGGAAACTCAATTTTGAGAGTACACAAATATAAAAATCCTACCTTTCCATTCTGACTCTTCTCCAAAGCCACGCCTCCAAAACACAATGCACACAGCAATGTATACTGACTGACTACTACGTACAGATTTCAGGAAAATAACAAATGCTCCCCAAACAAAACAAAACATAATTACCTGTCCAGCAGAAATACAGCCCCTTTTGTTCTCTCAGCTGTCTGAAAAAACCGGACTAGATTTCTAGGTCGAAGATGTTTCACCTCTCATCCAAGAGACTTCATCAGTTCTGACTGACTGGTGTTGAGCCGGAGATATTTATCCCCCTTGGTGGTGTTTCATTCCTTTGAGGGCCAGCAATGTCCCCTAACAACTGAGTTGTTATAGCCCAGTATCAGTGAGAGTTGTTACCCGTCTTTGAATCCTCCCCTGTGGACCGACGCCTGTTGTCCTGGTGGGCATGTTTGGGCAGAGATCCATTGTACAATCCTGTTTTGAGATCTCTGGTCAGAGGACCAGGACGGGCAGGTGAGTAGACAGATGAACTGTTGGAGCCAGGAGAGTCAGAGGACCAGGATGAGCAGGTGAGTAGACCAATGAAATGTTGGAACCAGGAGAGTCAGAGGACCAGGACGAGCAGGTGAGTAGACAGGAGAAGGCAGGGAAATTTGCCAGGTCGTGCCAAGCGGACCTGACAGCTGGCCATTCGGAGATAGTAACCAGGTCAGGCGGAGATGAGGGCTGCAGCAGCTGGAGGCCTGGCTGAGATGAGGACTGCTCAGCTGGAGGTGATGCATGAACAGATTAAGTTAGGAGCATGCAAGGACAACCTTGTGCTGGCTTTAAAGGCTGCTGCAGCTGGAGGACTGGCTTTAAAGGCTGCTGCAGCTGGAGGACTGGCTTTAAAGGCTGCTGCAGCTGGAGGACTGGCTTTAAAGGCTGCTGCAGCTGGAGGACTGGCTCTGATGGC